TTTTCCCTCCACTTCCTGCTGCCCACCACAAAGCTTTGTCCTGTGGCCAATATTACCACTTCTTACTTTCTAGCCCAATAGGAAGAGGATGAAGGAATCTACCCTCATCCTGAATGTCAATTTGCTATAGCTCTTCACTCTCAACTTGAAGCTGCCTTTATTAGCTTACATCCATGCCAGTCCTCTCTGCAAATATTCGAGGCCATGGTTTCCTGTGGTTTAATTTCCCCAGTGATCAGATCTTACTTATGTCTGCCTTTGTGATTCTTTCACATTTCTGATTTACTGATGACATTCTTGATGGTCTTTCTAAGCTTTTATAATTTTATTTTGTTTCTTAAGTGTCTATTTTTTATTGTTATTTCCATAGAACTTTTAGAAGAGTGGTAGGATTCATACGAATACTGAGTCTGCCATCTTATTTAATATCTCTAATTCTTTAAGAATAAAAATTAAATTTGGCTATCTTTATGTTGGGTTTCTTATACTTCAAAGAACTACTGTAAATATAGTTACTCTTATTAATAAAAGTATAAGCATATTTTATAATTATTTTGAGTTCTACCTTAGAAACAGCTGGCTCTCAAAAGGACAATTTTATAAGTATTCAGTGACAACAGAAGTGTCAATGTAGACACAAATGAGTAACTTTGTGTTTGATAAAGATTCTTTCTCATTCAACAAGGGATATGCTTCCAAATTTGGTAGTAGTTTTAACAGTGTGCTATGGATATACTCTTTTCACTTTCTTACAAACATCAAGCTTGCAGCAGGGTTTATTGGAAAGAGCATGGCCTGGGAACTGGAAATATTAATAATTCCCATTTTGTCTAATCAAGTTTTCTGACTTTCCATCAAGTTATCTATAAAAGTTGCATGGAAATATCTATTACACTTGGAAAATTATAAATTATCATACAAATATAAAGGTGGAAAAATAAAGATTATCACATTGCAGAAGAAACAATGCTATTTTCGTGGGTCTTGCTGGGTTTAACTCACCTCTTTCGCTACTCCATTCTCCAAAATGATTGTGTTTTTATGGCCTGGTATTTTCTATCACATCTAGCCATTTGTCTCAGAAAGCAAAATAAAGATTGTGAGCAAACCAAATGACAAATTAAGTCTATAGATAAATAAAGATATATCCTATTGCAATGCTTTTGTTTTTGAAATATCAAGTCCAGCTTCATTTTCTGGTTTAGTTAAAATGCTGTGGGAAGCTTCTCTGAGACTAGAGGACATTGACCTTTGGAAGGTGTTGGCTGCTCCTAAAGAAAGCTCCTGGCTGTTTAAAGGAATGGGGTGGAGTGGAAATACACCCAGACAGGAGATCTCACAGGTGGGAAGAAGAGGAGGGCCATGCCTAAAAGCAAGTCAGTTCATTCTCTGATCAGATCTTTAATTCTAAGTAGGTCTCTGAACTCATTTGGCCCTCTCAGGAACATGTAGGTTACTGACGCTGAATATCAGATCTGGGTTAATATTTATGTCATGCACAAAGAAATAACTCTGAGTACTTTAAAAAAAAAAAAAAGCCCTTCCTTTTTGCAGAGGAGTTACAAGTACTTACTTTATAAAATTTCTATTGAATATGAAGATTATAACCTAGAAGGAAGTCTTCTCTGACCCCACAGAATATATTAGAATCCCTGTATCTTGCCCTCAAAGCATTTATCTCAGTGAAGAGCCAGCTGTCCATTTCTACACAGGTACAAATTCTGAATCTCTGAGTCAGGAGACGGAGAGGTTAGACAGATGAAGTATTTTCCAACCTTCTCTTAGGTGGCCATGACAATGCATCTTCATGTGGCATGGGGTGGGGAAGCCATGGGCTATTTTTTCAAACCAACGCCAAATTCCCTATGACTAAGGGACACTCCTACAATATAATGTCTGGCAACCTGCTGGTCCTAGTTTTCCACATCATGGGGCAGGGCTTTTGTCATCACTGTTGTTTTGGAGGGAATGCTAGGTATGACGGAGACCACTCTGAAGTGACTGTCTAGGGTGGTGGGTGAGGTCCGAGGCTGAACAGAGTTTAAGTCACAAACCTTTCTGGGCCTGATTCTCCTCATGGGCCAAGTGGATATTTGAGCTCTACAACAGCAATCCTAACCTTTTTGGCACCAGGGACAGTTTTGTGGAAGATAATTTTTCCACCAAAAGCCAGGTATAGTTTCAGGATAAAACTGTTCCACCTCAGATCATTAGGCATTAGACTCTTATAAGGATCACACAATCTAGACCCCTTGCATGCGCAGTTCACAATAGGGTTTGCACTCCTGTGAGAATCTCATGTCACTGCTGATCTGACAGGACATGGAGCTGGGAGCTCAGGTGGTAATACTCGCCCACCTGCTGTTCACCTCCTGCTGTGTGGCCTGGTTCCTAATAGGCCACAGACTGGTACCTGTCTGCAGCCCAGGGGTTAGGGACTCCCACTCTGTGATTGTTGTGGCTCCTCTACCCGTGGTGCCCTGTGCATCTTGTGGTCCCAAATCTGAAATTGATTTTAATTTTATAGACAGAATATTTTGGTTCTTCTCTCCTCTCCAAAACCAACTGCTACTTTATTTTGGGTAAGATTCCTCATAAAACCTAAAACTATAATCCTCTTCAGAGTCCAGAAATATTACTTACAGACCTACTTCTCTCTTTTCTCTTCATAGGATGAGTTTATGGATTATTATTTCAAATAAGGCTTTTAAAATTATAAATATAAGAACATAACATTTAGGGATATAGAATAATTCACAAAGCAGTAAGTCTAAAAAAAATGTATTGAATCAAAGAAGAAACAGTTTGAGAATGAGTTTTCTAGAATTATATAATCTTGTAGCCTCAAAAATCTGTCTCTTTCCCTGTGAGAAAAACATATAAAGGGTATAACTGATTCTCACAAACTTGGAGCTTTAAATCATAACAAAACCTACATCACAGCTACTTAAAGAAAACGCATTCAAGGTAAGATTTTAAAATGTAGAATTGTCCAACCATCCTTCAAATTCAGACAGTATATGCTTATGTACATTCTTTCCTACAAAAAAAATTATACATTTTCCCCAAGAAATGATACTATCATCATCAAGGACCAAAGGATGAAGTGACAGAATGGTCTGTGTCTTGGATGCGGCCACCTGCCATCAAAACCTGCCTATTCTCTATATTATCTTCTGCAATGAACCAGCTCAGAGAACGAGTGGGCAAAGCAGTAGCATAAGAAGATCATCCACAAAGGCACTCCCCGTGGTCTTCTTGTTCCCTTGGGAAATCAGCTCCATTTAATAAGAGAAAGGAGAGCCAAGTGCTCCGAGAGCATAGGAGGGAAAATGAGAATGCTCACCCTCAATTATTCAGTGACCCCTCATTACCTGAAGCATAAAGGATGAGCTCTTCCTGCAGATACTTCGGTTGCTCAAGGTTCCCATTGTCTGTGCCCAGATGACATCACAGCCTCACTCATGCTATAGGAAGTCATTAGGGGACAAGGTCAGAGAGGTAACCGGAAGCCATATGAGTTAGAACCTCAAATCAGGAGTGAGGTGGGAGCCATTATAAGCCTTGAGCAAAGAGTGACAGCGTATGCATTATATTTTATTCTTATTCATTCCCCCCAAATGTACTCCACATTCCCAGCATACAAACTTACTCCCCTGAGAACTCCCCAAGCATCCCTGCCCATAACAATTGCATTCTGCCTTGGCGCCCATCTCCAAGGACTCTCCTACACAAAGCTTCCCTGATTCCTCCAGCAAGGGGGGACTCTCCCTCCTGCTCTAATCCCATGAATGTCCAGAGTACCTGGCTTAGACCACAGTTACCACTTCTGCATTTTTTGCCTTGCATTAATTTTCTTCCTGCTTGCCCCAAGAATACTCATGGGAGAATCTTGAGGCTGCAGTATTTATCCTAAGAAAACTTTGCCATGAACTATTAATATCTCGCTTGTATTATTATTTTCATATCATTCCAGAATATCAACTTTGAAAACAAAAGACATCATTCTATTTATAGCATCCTGGTTTTAGTAGTGGTATTTCTACTTATATAATATAGTAACACTATAGATCGCAGAAAATGTCAAATCCTAGAAAATGTAGCATTCCTAGGCAATGGTGTTAGCATCATTCTTGAATAGTTGTTGGTCAAAGATTCATTTGATGAATCTGATTTTTCCAAAATAGATTGTTCTGATGCAGATGATTCTGATGTTAGTTCTGTCTAGAATTAATTGGAAAAACAGACTATATATTTTATTTTCAAATTGAAAATCAGTCAGATTTGCTTCAGCCTCAAAGAGCATATTTATGTAAAATTAAATGAGCACTGGCGGCGAGCTGTACTTCTTTTTCTAAATGGGAAGAGGGAACTGTTAAGAGTCAAATGACAACATTAGACATGCCTTGCTTTAAGCCTCAGCTAGATTGCAGATTCCTTTGGTCACGAATTACACTCTATACAGCAACTCAGTGTTGTTACCTCAGCTGTGAGAAGACTCACTGCCTCCAAGAGCTCCTTTGATCAGTTTCAAGGCCCAGGGCCATGTAACAACCAGCCACCCCCCAATAACAGTTTTGCCAGCAGGTCCAACAGTTCAAGTTCATCCCCACTTCTAAAAACACAATGAAAGGATATATTTATGTTCAAAAAAGCTAAAAGCACGATTATCTCAACCACTTTTTTCCAATGAAACTGCTCTGGACATAGACACTGTCGTTACGCTTAGAGAAACTGTAGGGATTTGTTGTCTCCACTTGCTCTGGGGCTTGTATTGTACTGACATCTTTGTTACCCCTATTCATCACATGTTTTCATTCCCCCACTAAAAGGCATGTTCTTTGGCCTCACAGATTTACTTCACCTACTGACCTTTGCTCAAAATATATCTGCAGATGTGTTATTTGCATGGCTCTTCCAGGTCTTCTTCTCTGCTTCAATTGCAAATGAAATCCACAAGGCAAAGAACCAAAGATAACCTTCTACCTCTGTTCTAACAGGATTTTGTGCCACTGTATCAAGACTTTGAAAATTTTTTTACACGGAACCTTTACATGCGAATCAGAGACAACTGGAACCGGCCCATCTGCAGCGCCCCAGGGCCTCTGTTTGATGTGATGGAGAGAGTGTCGGACGACTATAACTGGACGTTTAGGTGAGGCAGCCGCTTGGAGGGGCTTGGTGAAAAGAAAATCCTTTCAAGGAAATCCTAGCATGGGCACTAGATGACAAATGTGAAAAACAAAGGCTTGGAAGCTATCAGTTTTGTATCATATAGCCATTTGCAAGCCCTCCTAATGCCACTAGAGGAAGGCACAGTAATTAAGTAGCTACCAGAGTGGCTCTTTTATATTGTGATTAACCTAAGACCTCTGTCAGAAGGTGCAGGACACACAGAGCCAGCCAGGAAGACCCCTTTCAGCTTTATTGACAAATTGTACTCTCCTACTTCTAGTTGAATGAGACAGTGATGACCATGGCTCTCATTCCATTAGAAGGCTCCTGCTGGAATTTAAACCAGAGCATAGGTGTCATGGAAATCAGTGCCCAAGAAACCCAGGGCTAAGTAACAATCCATGGCTCAAGGTGTCCTTCTCCAATGCTCTGCCCATCTTCATTATGGGCTTACCTTTCTCTTAGGGAAAATGATTTTTTTGTTAACAACTTTTTTGATGCATAATAGATGTACAATATTTTGGAGTACATGTGATAATTTAATACATTCATATAAGTTGTAAAGATCAAATAAATGTACTTGGGACATCCATCACCTTAAATATTTGTCTTTTCTTTATACTAGAATCATTTAAATTATTCTCTTCTAGCTATTTTGAAATAGACCATACATTATTTTGTAAACCATAGTCACCCTACTGATCTGAGTTTTATTTCTTCTATCAAACTGTAACTTTGGACCTGTCAGTCAACTTCTCTTTCTCTCTCCCTCCTCCCTACCTTTTCTAGCATCTGGTAACAACCAATCTAGTCTGGTGAGATCTGCCTTTTTAGCTCCCACATTATGGTTAAAAAATATGATATCTGACTTCTGTGCCTTGCTTATTTCTTTTAATATAAAGGCCTCCAGTTCTATCCAAATTGCTTCAAATGATAAGGTTTTCTTTCTTTTTCTTTATGCTGACAACAGTGCTAGTTAATAAGAAAGAAAAGATATGATTTGGGCCATACCTAAGGTCTCTTCAGCACTAGGATAATTTTTTTTTTTACATTTGGAAAAATAAAACTTTATTAAATCAAATGGATGGGTATATCTGTTTCCTAAGAAAGACAATGATAAAGAATTTGCTGGAAGGAATAACAGTGGGTAGGGGTTTGTTGACTTTGCTTTTAGCCTCATGGTAGTTGGCAGAGCATTAGGGAATCACTGCTGCAGGTTTAGTTTTGAATTGATGCCTGGACTGCCAGCAGTATCCATTATTCCAAATGAGACCAAAAGAGGGCAGCCAGCCTGCACTGGTCCGGAAGCTGTGATCAAAGTTGTCCCCAACTCGGTTTGGGGAAAGTTTCTTCAATTTCTCCTTTTCCTTTTCTTTAAGAAAATATTTATAGGACGGTCCTATTTGTTGGTTCCCAGGGATGCATTCTTCATCGTGGATCATCCAGGAAGGTGTGGCACCTGAGTGGATGTTACCAACTCGGTATATCCTGATGGCCAATGAATATCAGAGATTGTCCTGCCTCCATCCAGTCAAGCTCTGGAGCTGTGGCAGGTCCAAGTTGGAGGGCTGCTGTGAGCTGGCAGCTGCTTGGCTGTTCATCCCTTTCCAGCTTCCAGGGGCTGAAGAGCTCTCTTCTGGGTCTGACACTGGCTGAGAGGGTCTGGATCCTCCAAGGAAAACCAACTTTTAGGACAGACTGAACCACCTCCTGCCAGCTCTGATCCACCTCACCGCTCTGAGCTGCCCTCTTCTTGGTCACCTCATCCTCTTTTCCTTCACAGGAATCCAAACCTTCCACCATGGATTTTTTGAATCATGCATAATACTGGGGAGGGGATTATGTGCTCATTTACATGTTTCCCTGCAGGTTTACTGGAAGAATCATCAAAGATGTCATCAACATGGGCTCCTATAACTTTCTTGGTCTCGCAGACAAGTATGACGAGTCTATGAAGACCATAAAGGATGTTTTAGAGGCGTATGGCACAGGAGTGGCCAGCACCAGACATGAAATGGGTATGTACATTCACTGTTTTGAAATTTTTTCCTGTTAGGTCTCAGATTCCTTGTGTCTGCCTCTCAAATTTAGATCACATTTAGACTGTGTGCCTTAAAAAGACGTTATAAAAAACAGAAAGAGAAAGAGATATTTTGGGAAATTTCAAGCATTATGCTGTAGCCAGGCAGTTTATTAATCACGTTTCAATTCTCCAGAATAGACAAAAATGGATCTTTCCTGCCCATATTATCTAAAATAGCAACACTGTGCCTCCTTTACCTGGTCTTTGTCTGCCCTTTATTCCACTTTTCTTAATGATGTTCATCACTGGTTAAAATGATCTTGCATTTGTATTTGTATATGGCCTGTCTCTGCTCCTAAGAACATAAGCCTTGTGAGAAGAGGGATTGGACTCGTGGAATGTTGCATTGAACAAATGAATGAATGGACAAGGTGAAGGAGACGAGCAGATTGCTCTTTATTTTCCTTTTAGCTAAAATGTTTTTCTCTTCCTCAAACTCAAAGGAGTAACAACTGTGAGAAGGAAATCCACTCCAACTCAGGAAGAAAGAATAATGAAACCTTGCTCTTATAGAGTGCTTTTCAATTCTTGGCATGAGGACAGAGAGGGAAGGAGAGAGGGGAGAGCGTTCATTAATTAAAAAAAACAAAAACACTGGCCAGGCACAGTGGCTCATGCCTGTAATTCCAACACTTTGGAAGGCCAAGGCAGGTAGATCACCTCAGGTCGGGAGTTCGAGACCAGTCTGACCAACATGGAGAACCCTGTCTCTACTAAAAATACAAAATTAGCCAGGCATGGTGGCACATGCCTGTAATCCCAGCTACTCGAGTCAAGAGAATCGCTTGAACCTGGGAGGTGAAGGTTGCAGTGAGCCAAGATCGTGCTTTTGCACTCCAGCCTGGGCAACGAGCAAAACTCCATCTCAAAAAAAGAAAACAAAAACAAACAAACAAACCTGTACAGGCAGCACAGGTGGTCTTATTCTCATCTTGTGGAGGAGGAATCTGAGATCGCGGCACCTAAGTGATGTACTCAAGGAAGTTAAATAACCAATCTAATTTCCAGTCTAATTTTCAGCTTTCTCTATACACAGCACTTCGTCCTCCCAGTGACACATGCAAGGTTTACCAGGTCGGTTAGGCCTGCCTAAGAATTGGAGGAAAATGTGATTTAAAAGGGATTTACAATCACATTAGTGAATTATGAACCACACGGCTCTCTTAGATAATCAATTAGCAGAGAGTTTTAGAAACAATTTAATATTCAGACTTGTGCAACAAATAATTCACATTGAACAAACTGTGTACCTTTTTTATCCCAACATTCAGTAAATACTTGGCTAAGGCTCTAGAGTTAATAGTGGGTGCACAGATTTCTGAAGAAAAACATCTTATCTTCATTTTGAGGCATAGTGCTGGAGATGTAAACAGGGTGCGAAGGGCAGGGAACGGGAGGCTTTATGCCACTTAAAAAGACTGGGTCACTTGTGATGCCCATTTGGAGATGGGGCAGAGACTGGAGCATTACCTCCAGCCATAAGTGTCAGTAACCATTTGGGGTATTTCCTCTGGTGCTGGTGACACCCAATACCAGGGTTGTTAATGACCAGGCAGAAGTCACATTCTTGATAACAACCCCCAAGCTCAGTGAGACAGAACACGCTCCATCACAGGCAGTAGAGGCTGAAGGAAAGCTGCTTGATACAGACAATGGTTCCCTTACAGCGGAAGCCAGATTTGGAACATGGGTCCATCACTCTGCAGGTTCAGCAAACCCAAGAAACTAGGCAGAAATGAAGGTTTGGTACTGAACTCAGCCCAAGTTCTTTCTCCACCTACTCACCCTTCTGAATCACCCAATTTTCAACATTTACACATTTCATTTAGCTCTCCAGGTCAAGTTCTAAGAAGAGGACTTTAACATTTTTCAAGGAAATAGTGAAAGATCCAAAGAGAAGTCACGTGGCCACACTAACTTTAGGCAAACAGAATGACTGAAACATGAATATAAGCAACCAATCAGGAAATGAATAAATAAAGAGGGCACATTTAAAGTATTCTGCAACATTAATAATAATCTTAACATGGCATTCAAGAATTAGGAGTAGCGTGATTCTGAAAGCCATTTATTCTAATGAACACAGGTAGTATTTGGGAAACATGTCTTAAGAGAGAGAATATTTAACAGTGCAAATGGGTTAACAAGGAAAATTGGAAAGCTAGAAGTTCAACAATTTTTAGTAACTAAAATAGCTTCTTGAGAATCTAAGTTTATGAACATTTAATCCTTAAAAATAACTTCTCAGAGCTTTTAAAAATAGTTTTCAATGCTCTAGGAGAAAAAGGAAAATAAAATCCATGTAACAAAAAGGAAAGATAGAAAAGAAAATAACAAGGAATCACTTAAAACATAGTAAAAGATTAGATGATGACATATTTTGTCCAAAAAAAAAAAAAAGTACTGAAAACAGATTTGTCTATTAAAAGGCAAAGACTGAGATTTGGCCAAAAACCTAAACTCAACTATGTGCTGTAAATTAAAACTATACAATATTAAGTTAAAATTATTTCAAAGGGTAAAAACCAGAAAGATAGGTCCTACTAGGTACCTAGTGCCCACCTCCCTGCTGCAACCACCAAAGGGGCTCAAAAGGGAGGTCAGTGGAAGGAGCAGCAAAGGAAGAGCCCAGGAGGAAGGTTCCCGGAGGAAGACTGTTTACCAAACCTGTACCTGTAAATGTTAAAACTGAGCCCCAAAATACAGCTGGAAATGATACATTTTCAGACAGATCTGTACAGAAGTGCAAATGCTGTTCTTAAGATGTGAAATTATATACTACTGCTTATTTTAGAGTATAAGTAAAAACTAGTGGAATATGAAATTAAGGGAGGCTTTGACTCCTTTATGGGTCAATTTACATTCCACATAAATAAAGCAACAAAAAACAAAAAAACGATATGGTAATAGGAGACCATAGGTATCTCCCAGTCCCTGAAAATGAAGAAGCCAAAAATAAATTAATAAATGATACAGAAGACATTAACAATGTAATTGTTAATGATTGTTAATTTAATAGTTATCTTTTGAATCTAAACCTTAATACATATTATCAGTATACTTCACCTTTTTAAATCCTCATTGAATTTTCACAAAAATCTACCATATATTATCCCACAAAGAAAACCACGTGAAATTCTAAAAAGTAGAATCTACATAAGTCACATTCTTGAATCCTGTGAAACAAAGCTAAAACTTAATAACAAACTAACAAGTATGAGATTATGGGAAGCAACTAGTTGTGTGCATAGAGGAAAATGTAAGTCTTACTTTACTTAGCAGGAAACATGAAAGCTAGTAAACTGGGCAACCAACATAGCGAGGAATAAAAGAAAAGCAAAAGTATTGAATTATTGAAATTAAAAACAGAAACTTAGGAATTTGAAAGAGTAATTTCTATTGGGCCCAGATAGCTGTGCTTTTTTNTTTTTTGTGTGTGTGTGTGTGTGTGTTAGAGTTTCATTCTTTTGCCCAGGCTGGAATGTAATGGCATGATCACAGCTCAAAGTAACCTCCTCAAACTCCTGGCCTCTAGTGATCCTCCTGCCTCAGCTCTCAAAATAATGGAATTACAGGGAGGAGACACCACCTCAGCTCAACATCTGTATTTTTAATAAGTCACTGGAAATGATTCTGATAAACAGCCAAACTGACAACCATTGAACTAGCATAACCCTGATCTCCAAATCTGACAAACATGTATTTCATAAAGGGAAAAGTATAAATTACTATTACTTTCAAAAGTATACATTTAAATATAAAATGTAAATATTAAACTATTAAATATTTTAATAAGTAATATAAATATATAAAAAGAAAAATATATTTATAAGCAATATAATATTACACAAATTATATATAAACATTGGCATTAACACTAACAGTATATTCAAATAATAATATAATTAAGTAATTCTATTCAGGGATCAAAATAATAGTTCAATTATGAGATAATTTAAAATATTGAAATATCTAAGAAGTAAACTGATTATCTTCATAGATGCTGCTAAGCATTTATAAAGTTCATTATTTATTTCTCTAAAATTTTAAATAGAATATAAACAAGAAATTGCAAAACAGAATAAAAAATATCTACCTCAAAGACATTATACTATGATTCTTGGTTAAACATTAGAATTATTTAAAGTCAAGAAAATGTTGAAGATGCCTGTTTTACTATCATTTTTAATAATTTTTGGAAGTACTAAACAACATAATTCATTATTCATTAAGTTAATGAATATTTATTGAAAGACTATTGTGTGACAGAATAAGAAGTACATATAGAAAAAGTGTGTGTGTGTGTGTGTGTGTGTGTGTGTGTGTGTGTGTGTGTGTGTGTAGAAGTATATATATGTAACAAAGGAAGAGGTAAAATAGCCATCATTTGTTGATGAGTTTATTGTTCACTTTCTGGTTTTCAAGCCGTGGTCTATGGAGGGCATGTGGGACTTGTGGAGGAGCTGTTCTTGGGGCTACCAGAGAGAGGAAATCGAGCAGGTAGGACAGTGAGCCTATCCCTCACTATGCCTCTCCACTCCACTCAAAACGGAGTTTTGGTCCATTTTCCTCCACCTTACATATTTAAGTAATCAAAAATTTATTAGACATAAAAAGAGATTTAATAAAGACCAGTTTTTTAATTCATACAGTAAAATTAATAATCAATTATAAACAGTAAGAGAATATACTAGGGAAACAATATTACTACTAAATATAAGCAAAAATAGCAAACACCTAGGGAATAAACTTATTTTCAAAATGTTTGGAACCTACTGAAAGAAAACTATAAAACTTTTATGAAAGACTTAACAGAAGACATTAAAAAAAATACCATATCCTTGAAGGGAAAATCTTACTATTGTAATTATATTAATTCTTCCCCAAATGAATATGTAAATTGAACGCAAGCTTAATAGGCAGGGTAGTGGTGGG